GGCGCAGTGGGCCGCGCGTGTGGGCGGGGCCTCCGCCGGAAGGAGGCGTGGCGCACACGATCCTACTGTTCCCAGGGCGCAGAAGTCTACTCCGACGATCCTACCCTGTCTTCCGGGCCAAGGTCGGCGATAGCCACCCCCTCGGAACCACAAAGGCGTCACCATTTACGGGGCGTCTTCTAAATGCCGGGCCTGGTGTTTGGCGTCTGGCTGGTCATGCAATGACCCCCAAGTCCCAGGTGGGCTCCATCAGGCCGGAGCAAGTGCTGCGGGTTGTCTCTGGTAGAGAAAGGCCCTAATTGGGGATGTCAGGAACTAACGGGCTCTCGCTGCTGCCCCGAGGCTTCACTGCCCCATTGGGGAGCAGCGCTGGTGGTCTGAGTATGAATTCAGCCGGAACCTCAGCCCCGAGAGGGTTGCGTTTGTTCATCGCTGTTTCCCCTGTGGCTAGAACAGTGCCTGGCACCCTCCCAGTGCTCCATCAGAAATCTGTGAAATGATCCTTCCCCAAGGTTAGGGGGAGGTGACAGGCTATTCATTCCTGGTGTATGTGTGGCTGTTTTGATCTATTTTCTGTTCAGTTTTATGTTTCATTCAAAAGCAGCAACACGCTGGGGCCTTTTTAGTGACCCTTGTAAGGTGTCCCCATGGGCTGACAATGAACAGCTCACACCTGCATGTACCCCCAAACCCTGGGCCCCCTGCGCGGTTCCTGCTGCCTGGTCCCCTACCCACCCTTCCTACTCAGCCCATGTCACTTCCTCTGGGAAGTCTGTCCTGACTGCAGACCAACCTGAGCCACTACCTTGAAACCCTCATCACCCTGGGTGAGGACCATCACTGTGGTCACAGCTGTAGCCCCGGCATCACCATTTGCTATGAGAGGCCTGCCAGCTTGGTTGGACGGCGGGGTGGGGTAGAGGGGCAGCCCCTGGGCCCATCTAGTAACCGGAGGCAAGGGCAAAGAAGCAGGGCTTTAATAAGTCTTGGGGGGAAGGGGGATGTCCTAGACGGCACACACACCTGCTCCCCCTCTTCAGGATCAAATAAATAATTCCATCCCTCGGGAAGGCGAGGTCTGAGGAAGGGGTAATGTCTGAGGTCTTGGAGGGCTGGTGGTCCAGTCCTGTAATCACTCACTCTCCGAGTCTGAGTAGTCAGCCACAAGGGAAGAGTTGAGGGTGTAGGGGTGTGGCGTGTCCTGGGGATCGGCTGCCTCCTGGGAGGAGCCTGATGAGGACCGGGGCCTGTCCTGACAGCCCCCAGTCTGCCCTTGAGGTTCCTTTGTCTTGGGGGTCTTGGCTGTCTCCTGAGAGCAGTCTTGGGGGGATGTGGGCATGTCCTGGGTGGTGCCCTCTGACACCTGTAGCTTCTCAGACGTGGAGGTCTCAGCAGCATGCTGTGGGCTCTCTGAGGTCTCCCGGGACTGCCTTCGAACAATACCCAGGCCCCCCACGGTGATGGGGGAGCCCGCAGGTGCGGGTTTGCGGTTCTGGGCCAGCTTCTTCAGGACGCTGCCAGCTTTGCTGCAGCTGCTGGGCCCCGAGGTCGAGGGGAACCAGGAGCGGCTGATGATCTCTGTCCGCTTGAGTTTCTGCTTGTCCTCATAGGCTGGGGGAGAAGGAGAGGAGGGGAAAAGAGGTCCAGAGCCACCCTCTGCCCGGGTCTGCCATTCAAAGCCGGGACCCCCCATCTCTCCCACCCCAACCCATTCCTTTCAGCCCCACGCACAGTCCAGCGTATGGAACTTGAGCAAGGCGGCCAGCCTGCGGTCGTCCTCTGTCTCAGGCACCAGGGGGATGGCCAGGCTCGCCTTGGCCTGCAGTGCCTGGTCCCTCTCCTCCTCCTCCTGCAGGGCTTTTTTCTTCTCCTGTTGGGGGAAGGGAGGTGGGTATCAAAACCGTGTCTCTTCCATGCCTGTTGACTCACAGCATTGCTCCAGATCTCCGGGTCTGTTTCCTCCTCTCAAAGCTCCCACTATGGCTGGGCCACAGAAGTTACTTAACAAATGGGAGGCACACTGTTATTAACACGTGTACCATCAGTTCTTCACTCACTCATTCCACAAATATTGATGTAACACCCATCTCGTCCCAGGCCTTGTTCTAGACACTGGGAACAGAGCAGAGAGCAGACAAAAACCCTTGCCCTTGTGGAACTGACATTCTAGTGGGTGAGTGCGACAAATGTGATGGGAGAAAAAGAATGCCAGGAGAGGGGTAGGGAGTGGCCAGGGGATTCAGCTTTAAATGTGATACTGGGTGAAGAAGAGGCTCAGGACTGTCTCCCTGAGATCACATCTGAGAAAAGACATCTGAGTGAGGGGCCACGTGGGAGTCTGGTGGAAGAGCACTGTGCAGTGCAGGGAAGAGCCTGTGCAAAGGCCCTGAGACGGAAGTATGCTTGGAGCTGCTGAGGGGAGTGAGGCAGCCAGTGGCTGGAGCAGAGCAAACAAGGGGAAGGTGGAGATGGGGGCAGGGAGGGGAAGGGGCAGATCATTCAGACCTGGGGGGGAAAGACTTTGGCTTCTACTTTAAGTGGGAGCCACGGAGGGAGGGTTCTGAACACAGGAAGGAGGTGACTGACTCAGGTGTTCATAGGCGTCCTCTGGTGGGGGTGGGGGAGAAACAGAATGTTGGGGTGCGAGATGAGAGCCTGGAGACCAGGGCAGAGGGACTATGCTAGCCCAGGTAGGAGATGATGGGGGTGGTAGAAGCAGCCAGATACCAGATATAATTTGAAGGTCCAGGCTGACAGAATTGCCAACTGGAGATGGGGAGGGGGAGTCAAGCCCAACTCCAAGCTTTGGGAGTTCTGCCTCGGACAGCTGCCTTCTTCTTTTCCTTTTAATCCTCATCTGAGGATATGTTTTTATTGGTGTTAGAGAGAGGAAGAGAGAGAGAGAGAGAGAGAGAGAGAGAGAGGCTGGTTGCCTCCTGTACACATCCCAACTGGGGATTGAACCCGCAACCTAGCTATGTGCCCTGACTAGGAATTGAACCCCCAACCTTTTGGTGTATGGGATGATGCTCCAACCAACTGGGCTACCCAGCCAGGGTGGACAGGTACCTTCTTTATTGAGAAGAGGGGATGTGGGGGGGCGGGTACGGTAGGGACTGAGGTAGGCTCACTGGCATGTTATGTTTGAAGGTCCTTCTGCCACGTGCAGAAGCCCAAAAGGCAGGGGACACACAGCTCAGGGCACAGGCCTGGCTGCAGGGAAGCACTTCTAGTAACAAGTACTTAGTAAGAAAACTAGAGCCCTGGCTGGGTAGCTCAGTTGGTTAGTGTAGTCCCCATACACCAAGGTTTAGGGTTCGCTCCCCAGTTAGGGCACATACCAATGAATGCATAAATAAGTGAAACAACAAATTGATTGTTCTCTCTCCCTGCTCTCTCTCTCTCTCAAGTAAATAAAAAGACAAAAACAAACTAGTAATTTTACTCCTAATGATGACCACAGAGTGATCAGAAAAGGAAGCAGGAAGAGATGGGAGCTGTAGGATAGTGAGGGAACTCGTGGCCTGTGGGGTTAGTCCTAATGCTCCTGCTTGGGCTCCCTCTGCAGTGTCCTGGGCACAGTCTACCCCACAGAGTGGGAGAAGGAGAGGAAGGTTCTCACGGTGCCCTGTCAGAGCCTGCAAGGGTGAAAAGCCCATTTATATGGGTGAGCCACCCACCAGGGCACTAGTTTTCACAGTCCCACCGAGCGTTTTTGGCACAACCTCGGTAGCCATTGTGGTCACTGACAGCAATAGCCCTGGGTGTCCTTCAGCATTTGCACCTGTGCCCTCAGTGACTCTCCACGCAGGTGCAGGGATCCTGCCCACACATTATGCAAATTGAAATATGCATTTTATTATAAGTGATTTCCCCTTTTTCCTCATAGTCAGCACATGGCAGGGATGGTTTTGGAGATGATTTGGGGCAGGCTGACAGTCTATGGATTTTGTTTTGGGACAGCTGAGTGGGCCCATGAATGTGTGTTAGGTGTTACCAGTTGGTCAGTACCCTGACACCCACAGCAGGGTCAGGCTTCACCTGGGCCCTAGCTTGAGGCTCGTTTACCCTTGGAGATCTGTTGAAAGCGAAGCCCAGTCCCCACAGGGGAAGGCACTATGAGCTTAAAAATAGCCGCTGGGCTAGGTGCCTCCCATGAGCGCTGTGAGGTCTTCATGATGCAGGTGGAAAAATTAGACTCTGGATGAAATGACATGCGTATAGCTAGTATGTGGTTGGGGATAGGGCTGGACCTGGTCTTAACTTGCCATGTGAGCGATGCCAGGTGCCCCCGCCTGCCTGTGGTTCCAAACCCGGCTGGAAGCCACTCACCCGGAACCGTTTCCGCAGCATGCTGTTGAGGGCAAAGTCGTCCTTCCAGGCGCTCTGTGCCTCCTGGATGTGGCTCAGGATGGGCAGGGCCTTCTTGAGTGTGTCTCGGTCGGCCTCCCCGTGCTCCAGACGGAACATGGCGTCTGTCTCCAGCTTCTGCTTCTTCTCATGCTCTGCAAGGGCGGGAGTGTGGCTGGGCCTTCCGGGACCCACCTCAGGCTCAGGGTCAGGCTCAGGGTCAGGCGGGGGT